TAAGATGATCTGTTTCTTCAGTTTGGTAGAATTATTATCTGAGATGTTACCTTCATGGGAAAGCTTTCACCACTCCTTCATTTCCGTACTACTTACAGATCTTTCTGCATTGTTTTGGTAAATTACATTCTTTACAAGGTCCATTTCACCTAACTTTTCAAATTTTTTGGCATACGTTGATAGTATTATTTTATAATCTTCTTAGCGTTTGTTTTATCTATAACCGTGCCTACTTTTTCAGTCATAATATTATTTATTTGTGCTTTAACTCTTTTTTCTTATTCAGCTTTACTGGAGGCTTATTAATTTTCTTGGTATTGTTCTTCCAAGGAATGAACCTCCAAATTTGTTGATTTTCTTTACTACAGATATTTTATCAATTGTATTAGCTCCTATTCATATTATGTCTTTCTCTCTTGTTTCTTTTTGCTTTGTAGTTCTTTTCCTAACTTAAAGTAGGCATGTAGCTCATTAATTTTCAGGCACTCATCAATTTTGTAAAGTATTTAAGGCTAAACATTTCCTTCAAAACACTGATTTTGGTATATTTCATTAGTTTTGATATGAAGTGTTTATTAGTATCTAACTTTTTAAAAACATCTGTTATGGTTTTTGCTCCTGTGAGTATTTAAGTTTTTAAATTTCCAAATATGCAGGAGTTTTAACTCGTTTTTGAAGTAAATTCTAACTCATTTGCTCTATGGTCAGGAATCCCTATTCTTTGAAATTTAGTGAGGCTTGTCTTGTGAACTAGTATATAAGTTTACATATAAAATAATCTAAGTCCACCTTCAAGTAATATTATCACTTTCCATGTAGAGCATTTGCCTTATAGCAGATTATTCCCAGTTCCTCTCTACAGTCCCTGTGGCATTGCTGTCGTTCATTTCACTGATCCATAGGCTATAATCACCCAATACATTTTTACTGTCATTGCTTTAACAGTTATATTTTGGATCAATTAAAAATAAGAAAAAATAGTTCAATTTACCTTCATGTATTCTTTCTGTGCCACTGTTCCTTTCTTTATAGAAATGCAAGTTTCTAACCAATGTCATTTTTCTCCTGCCTGGAGAACTTGTTTTACCATTTATTACAGGACAGGTCTCCTGGCAATGAACTCCTTCAGTTTTTTGTCTGTCTCAAGAAGTCTTCGTTTCTCTTTTATGATTTTTTTTTTAGATATAATTCAATACCATAAAATTCACCCTTTTAAAATATACAATTCAATTGTTTTTAGTATGCTCACAAGATTGTTCAACCATAACCATTATCTAATTCCAGAACATTCTTATTATCCCAAAAGAACCCCATGTCGATTAGCAGTCACTCCCAATTACCCTCTTCCCCATAGCCCCTGGCAACCACTAATCTTTCAATTTATGGATTTGCCTATTCTGAACATTTCATATAAATGAAATCACACAATGTATGGCCTTTTGTGTCTGGTTTCTTTAACTTAGCATAATGTTTTCAAAGTTCATCCATTTTGTAGTAGGTCTCAGTACCTCATTACTTTCTGTGACTATATGATATTCCATTGTGTGGATGTGTTACAATTTGTTTATCTGCTCATCAGTTGATAGAAATTTGAGTTGTTTCTCCTTTTTTTTTTTTTTTTTTTTTTTTTTAATTTTTTTTTTTTTTTTTTAACGTTTATTTATTTTTTTGGGACAGAGAGAGACAGAGCATGAACGGGCGAGGGAGGGGCAGAGAGAGAGGGAGACACAGAATCAGAAACAGGCTCCAGGCTCTGAGCCATCAGCCCAGAGCCCGACGCGGGGCTCGAACTCACGGACCGCGAGATCGCGACCTGGCTGAAGTCGGACGCTTAACCGACTGCGTCACCCAGGCGCCCCGAGTTGTTTCTCCTTTTTATCTAAGCAATGCTGCTGTGCACGTTTGTGTACAGATTTTTGAGTGACATAAGTTTTTCAGCTCTCCTGGCTCTAGATCTAGGAATGGAGTTACTGGATCACATAGTAACTATGTTTTACTTTTTGAGGAACTGCCAGACTGTTTCAGAAGTGGTTGCACTGTTTTACATCCCTACCAGGAATGTATAAGGATTCTGATTTCTCCATATCTTTGCCATCACTTGTGACTGCCCATCTTTTTATTATAGCCATCCTAGTGTGTGTGAGGTGGTATGTCACTGTGGTTTCAATTTGCTTTTGTCTAATGATTAATGAAATTTAGCATCTTTCATGTGCCTTTCATTTGTATATCTTTTTTGGAGAAATGTCTGTTCAGATTCCTTGCTCATTTTTTAATTGGGTTGTCTTTTAATTGTTTATTATAGACATTACTTTTAATGTCTATTGTTGAGGTATAGGAGTTCTGTATATATTCTGAGGCCTACCCTTATCAGATAAATGATTTGCAGTTTTCCTCCTATTCTGTGGGATGTCTTTTTACTTTCTTGATAGTATCCTTTGAAGCAGTTAAATATAAAATTGTGATCTTTTCACTTTTGGATAACGATTTCACTGAGTATAGAATTCTAGGTTGGTGGGGTTTCCTCCCCCTAACACTTCAAAGATTTCACTCCATTCTCTTCTTGCATGGATGGTTTCTGACTAGAATTCCACTATAATTTTTATCTTTGTTTTTCAGTAGCTAAGGTGTTTTTTCCTCTGGCTTCTTTCAGATTTCTTTCTTTGTCTTTGGTTTTCTCTAATTTAAATACTATATGCCTGTGGTGTTTGTGTGTGCGTGTGCGTGTGTGTTTAAGGTATGTGTCTTTCATGGCGTTTTTTTAAGCTTTCTGGATCTGTAGGTTGGTGTTTGTCATTAATTTAGCAAAGTTTCCAGCCATTATTATTCCAAATATTTATTCTGCATTCTCTTTCTTCTCCATCTCGCATTCCAGTTGTACACATTACTCCTTTTGATATTGTCTCACAGTTCTTGGATGTTTTGTTGTATTTGTTTGTTTCTCTTTGCATTTCAGGTTGAGGAGTTTTTATTGACCTATCTTTAAATTCCTGGATTCTCTTTTTTTTTTTTTTTTTTTTTTTTAGCTATGTGGAGTTTACTGATGAGCCATTGATGGCATTCTTCATTTGTTATAGTGTTTTGATTTCTATCCTTTCCTTTTGATTCTTTGAGTTTCTGTCTCTATTTACATTACTCATCTATTCTTGCATGTCATCTACCTTTTCCATTAGAGCCTTTATCATAATATTGATCATTGTTATCTTAAATTTTCTGTCTGATAATTCCAACATTTATGTCCTATCTGAATCTAGTTCTGATGATTGCTTTCTCTCTTTAGACTGTGTTTTTGTGGGTTTTTTTTTTCCCCTTTCCTTTGGAATACCTTTTAATGTTTTTGATAGCCTGACATCTGTTATCAAGCAATAGGAACTGAAGTAAATAGGCATAATGTGGGATTTATTCTAATCTGGCTAGACATTGGGCTGTGTTTAATGTTTGTTGTAGCTGATGGGGTCATAGGATTCACATTATTTTATTGTCCTTGTTTTTATATGTCCTTTTGGATTTGGGATGAGATGCCATTGTATGGAGTCTGTTAGTTTAGAATATTGGTTTGAATTGAAGAGAATCACTAAATATCAGGTTTATGTCCAGACAGTGTATCTGCTTTTAGTCTTATGGCTAACATTATTTTGAGAATTCAGAATCATAGAAACATGAAGGTACAGGTGGTATAAGGTTTAAAAAATACTTTATGGGCTATGTCACAGTAATCATGGAAGAAAAATATCTAGAATGGCATAAAAGAATTTCCACAGTACAATATTTTCAGGCTATTCTTGGTAGTAATTTAGGTTGGAATATATTTTTGAAGATTTGTCAAATTACTTACATCTTAAAGTAGGTTAAAAGAGTGTAACAATCAGTTCTTTCTTTCATTTATGAAAACTATGGATTAAACTCAGTTGCCTAGCCAGTTTGTCTTTTACGCAGGTTAAAATGTATTGTTTGGTAAGAGCATTTCCTTGATATTCTCATATTCATTCATGTTCCTTTCTCTCTCCCTGGGAACTTTATTTTTCAAGACAATGATAAGACTGAGATTGAAGAAATTCTCAAATATTTTTGTTAGTTTTATTATACTTTTGATTGGACTTCTTGACCAAACATTTTTAATTGTAAACATCCAATTGCTTTTTTTCAAAATTTAAGTGATTTTTTTCTTTCTTTTCTCTCATATTTAGAATTCATTTATTGACTGGGAAAAATATCCACATAGTTCAAAATTCAGGAGTTCTATGAGAGTATTAAATGTAAACCTTCTATCCCTGTCTCCCAGCTATGTGCTTCCAAGTATCTTTTTAAACTTTTTTTTACACAAATGTTATTATATAATACACATGGTTTTGTCTGTGCTTTTATTATTTAATATATCTTGGAGATCATCCCATAATTATGTTACATTATTTTTTGCATGATATATCATTGCTTAAATGTGCCATATTTTAACCAATCCCTTCTTGTTATTTATATTGTCTCAAGTTTTTTGTATTAAAAGTAATACTGCATGGGGTGCCTGGGTGGCGCAGTCGGTTAAGCGTCCGACTTCAGCCAGGTCACAATCTCGCGGTCTGTGAGTTCGAGCCCCGCGTCAGGCTCTGGGCTGATGGCTCAGAGCCTGGAGCCTGTTTCCGATTCTGTGTCTCCCTCTCTCTCTGCCCCTCCCCCGTTCATGCTCTGTCTCTCTCTGTCCCCAAAATAAATAAAAGTTGAAAGAAAAATTAAAAAAAAAAAAGTAATACTGCATTGAGTAATCTTGTTTGCATATAATTTGGTACATGTGTGAACATATCTAGAAGAAAATTCTTAGACATGGAATTGCTAGCCCACAATATGCCTGCATTTATAGTTTTGATGTATATTGACAAATTTCTTGCATAAATGATGTACTAATTGCTGCAGTGTATGTGAGTGCCTGTTTTCCCAGATCGATACCAACATATTATGAATGACTGGTTTTAAAGTGGTTTCATGTGGTGCTATTTAGGGCCTATCACTGAAGAGATGCCTGTGTTTAGAATTATTATTTTTTTGATTGCTGTTGCTTTTATTGATTCAGTAGTTGTGGTTATTGTAAAGCTGTTATATATTAGAGCTGTTATATATATTTTGTGTCAGTTTTATTTTGTAGAAACTCAGAGGTTCTATTACAACCACAGTAATTTCATATGGTTTCAAATTTTACTCAATTTGCATATTTTTACTAATTTCAAGTTTTGGCTTTGTGCTTGTTTTATCACTTCTGTATGTTTTCTGTGGGAAAACTAATGTAAAAATTATGTGGTGAAAATGTGATTCTATTATTTTATTCTTGAGAGACAGAGACAGCATGTGAGTGGGGGAGGGGCAGCGAGAGGGAGACACAGAATCCAAAGCAGGCTACAGGCTCTGAGCTGTCAGCAGAGAGCCCGACGCGGGTCTTGAACTCATAAGCTATGAGATCATGACCTGAGCTGAAGTCGGATGCTTAACCAACTGAGCCACCCAGGAGCCCCAGAAAAATGTGATTCTAAAGTATGATTTTTAAATGATGGAGATTAGAATTTTTGATACTTTTAAGTTAAAAGTATCCCCTCCTGTGGCTGAATATAGAACCAGTGAACAAAATCCTTTGTTACATATAATTTGGGGGACTTTTGGTGATCAAAAGTAAAACAAATAAAACGTATGTTGAAATCAGAACACACACACTTTCACAAGGAAACAAGTTCATTTTCAAGAATCATGATGTGCAGGCCTTCACTGCCAAAGGAAAGCTCCTCACTTTGAGACAGTTGCCCTTGAATGCTCCTCAATTCCCCTATAACAACAAAACATCAAATATTTCCATCATTTATGGCACAGGGAAATTTTCTATTGCCCAGGCACTTATTCTAAACAGACAATAGGCTCTTATGAAAGAATAGGAGTTGGGGTTTTGTTTGCATACATACGAGAGAACCTTTTAAAATCTCAAAAAAAATAATTTAAGTCCTCCAAATCTTTGATTAAAATGGATAAACCTAGAATATGTGCCATGTTTATCCAGTTAGTTGATCTTTAGGAATATCATAACATCCCTTGGGTCACAGAAGCACCTGGGTTTGGACTTTCTCAAACTGTCTAAGCATAACCATAGAGAAGATAATTTCTGATTGATCTTCAGAACTGTGGCCTAGATCTGGTAATGGAAGAAAATGCAAAGGTAAAGAATGACACTACTTGGTGTTATTATTCTAGGCAATATTGGATAAGAAGAATAAAGTTCTTGAACCAAAGAAACTTCTGCGCTTTCTTCAAAGAAAGTCACTACCTCAACCTCGCCTTCCAACTCCAACTTTGGAAATGAGTTCCATTGTAAGTTTGAAACTTGATTTGAAATGCTAAATTCAGTATTGCTGTCTGTTCTTAGATACTTTGAGTTAAAAACAAACCTAATTTAACAGGGTTACCTTCTCAAGATATGACTTATATGGCATTTATTCTTATGATTCAAACATCAAACACACATGAATAAGCACAACAAAATCTTTCCAAGAAAAATAAGCATCAGAAGGTAATCCTCATGTATGTCAAATAAAAAAAGAAGATTGAACGATGATCAGTTACTATAACCATCTTGCCCACATGGGGAGGTGGCTGATGACAGCTGGTGTCAGAGAGGAGTGAAGTGCCAGAGATGTCATGAGGACAGGTTGGCTTCTGAGGTAGGACTGGCTCAAAGAGGTCACCTTGACCAGAGTCATACCTCACCTTCGTAGATCTCCAAACTCTGTTTGGATGAGGTACCAGAGTCAGTCAGGATTTAGGACTGACTCAGACTAGACAGCCCCCACCTCCAAGAAACTGCTAGAGATGCCACAATCCAAACGTCCTGCTTGACCGAAGGATAACTGCCTGGTAGATGGGGGCATTCCTCTTAGCAGGTCAGCCCATCATCTCCCAGGATAGGGCAGTTCTCACAAGAAGCCAGATTGTACTGAGAAGGTTGTCAGAGGGAGGGGAGTTGACAGGAGATCTCATTAGGGCTTCTGATGGGTCACCTGCGTGGAGGGACTGCCAGGATGTGCTTCTGGACATCCCCTTTGCTAGACTTTATGCCAATCACTGCCTGTGGTTAACACATTGTCTTTCACATGTGTGAAAGACATGCTTTCTTTTGCATTTAGAGGCACCTTAATTAGATTTGCAGACTCTGCTTTCTGCTTTTGACACAGTTATTTAAGGTGATTTTTGTAGATGGCTATTCTTGTCCATTCTGATTTTACCAGCTTATCTAAATTCTTGTGAGAAACACCTTACTCTAGACTCTGACACGAACTAGCTTTATTCCTTGTCTACTCTTGATCAAACATGAAAAAACTATTACAAAAGGGATGGTGTAAGCAATACTTGTTGTTTCAAGAAAGATTTTGCTGGAAAGGAGTATAGAAAAATGAAAATGGCTTAAATTGTAGGGATAGCATGAATTTTTTGCTGTTGAAATGATTTGTAATGATGTCTTATCATTATAAAAGAATGAATTTTAACAATCCAGTAGCATTTAAAATACTATATTTTCAATGAGAGTATAGACCTCATTTATTTCTCTTTAAGTCTCTGGCATCTAGCACAGTCCCTTTTGCTTGATCTGAGTCTTCAAAAAATATTTTGTGCTGACTGCTGCTCTTCTCAAGCTGCTTGGTTCTCACTTTGTTCTTTTAGGAAGAAGAAGATATAGAGATGGCTGTGATCTACCTTCAAAAGTTACTCCGGGGAAGAGTCGTTCAGAACACGGTGTGTAGGGTCCAAGCACTGGTCCTGTGCTTCTCCTTTGAGGATGGATTTATAGAATGCATATGTGCTTGGTTCCTTGGGGTGAATTCCTTCTGGCACCCTGCTGTCCTCTGGAACTCTATACTCTCAAGTTACCTACCCATTCCCTTCTGTTCCAGTTTGTCCAAGTGGGTGGCACAGTGTCAAAGAGAGAAAGGACCTGCTTGCTGTTGGTCACAGTTGTAACCAGGGCAAAGTGAAATTAATATCTTAGAATTGCTAAATCCAGCCATTTTCCTACCTAAATTTTGACTTTTTAAAAAAGTTTATTTATTTAATCTCTACACCCAACATAGGGCTTGAACTCGACCCCAAGAGCAAGAGTGTCATGCTTTTCCAACTAAGTCAGTGGGTGCCCCTGAATTTTTACTATTAAGGCATCACAAACCAAGTGGATTCCCTAATTTTCCACAAAGTCATAATTATTTGAGTTGGCATATAGCTAGCAACACCTGAATAATAAATAGCAAAGTAATAATAACTACAGTTTTAAAGCCATAGTATAAGCTCACATTATATTTTCTTTGCTTTACTTATATCATCTCTCTTTTTTTCTATCAGTTGCCTCATTTTATAGGCAAGTGATTTGAGTCTGAGATTATGTTAACTGCGAGCAAATTCAACTCTGGTCTTCCTGACTATAAAGCTTTCACCACATTATTTGTACAAACATACTTCACTTTTAAAGTGGACTAATATAAAGCACCAGCAAAAAAATTTTTTTCTCCTCACACAGCTATAACTCATAAGAGACTCAGTTATAATTAGTAAGTCTGGGAAGCTGGGTGAGCATCTTGTGTTGAGCATTATTCTTTACTCTCTTTGCAAATTTCCCCGGAAAAATGTCACAGCTGACTCCGTATTACAAACCAGGGGCAGATCTCTTGGAAAAGAAAACATGGCTATGAAAAATACCATCCTCAGGCATCTTAGGGAAGGAGCACAGAAAATGAGGGGAAGGTTCTAGTTTCCTTTTTTAAAATTTTTAATGTGTGTGTGTGCGCGTGTGCATGTGCACAAATGCATGCTCAAGTTGGGGAGGGTCAGAGAGAGAGAGAGAGAGGGGGGGGGAGAGAATCCCAAGTAGACTCCATGCCCAGTGCAGGGCCTCACTCAGGGCTCAGTCTCATAACTGTGAGATCATGACCTGAGCCAAAATCAAGAGTTGGACACTTAACCAACTGAGCCACCCAGGCGCTCCAGTTCTAGTTTAATATGACTCCTGTAGTAACCACCTTGTCTTCGAGAGACATTTTAAGAAATGAGTAAACAACTGATAACTAAGCTCTTTCTCTACCTGAGCAGCTGGAGGTGTAGAAAAGGGAGCTGACCTCTAGCTCTCTGGAGCACCCCTGCCCTGTAGTCCCAGAACGCAGGACTGAACCCACTGTTCACAAGTGCCTCACCAGTCCCTGGATGAGTCCTGATGTGTTGCACAAGGGACGTTAATTGCAAGTCTCTTTTTGATTTGATTTGATACAGATGTTTGAAGGCAAGGAAAAGCGACTGGAGTTGATCCAGGAGCTGCGCACCAGCCATGCGCTACAAGAAGATGACAGGCTGCTGAAGAAAGCTGAGAAGCAAGTGACCCTGGCCTTACAGCGACAGAGGAACTTGCATGAGCACAAGGTTGTCTCCTGGATTTTTATTATTGCACAAGTGGCATTATAATAATAGTAAATGAAATGACAAAAAAGAAACATTCCCCCCAATCCCATCACTCTATCACAGTCAGCACTTTGGAACAATGCTGCTGCAGTCCAGAAATGGAATGGGCTATGCCCTCACTGAACTGAGCATGATCTTATATTTGCAAAAAAAAAAAAAAAGAAAAGAAAAACCCTTTTAAAAAATATTTGGTGATTCTACCAAATTTCAGTGGGAGCTTGGCAGAATAAAAAATAATAAATGCAATAAAAAAAGACATGAGATTTATTTTAAAATATCAGCACTTTGGGTGCTGGAGCTGTACATAGCTCAGGCTGGTTAAACTGCATATTAAATATGTTAATATCTCATGGTATTCTGTGATGTCATCAGTGTCACCTGACAACAGCTGGTAATTGCAGCTCTACCCCAACAACTGTAAATGTTTTTCCTATTTTCTTCTGGCATTTGTCTATATATAGAGTTTTTAATGGTGCTGACTACAGAGTGGACATACTTTTACTATCTCTCCCACTAATCCATAAATCAATATGAAAAAGAATCAATTTGCACAGTATAGTGCTATATGAAAGTGAAGTTAGTATGACCCACCCTTAGTAATGCACATTAATGCTTGTGCCATGTGGAATTGGGCACAAATGGTAAGCAGCTTAGAAATGAGTACATTATTGCTTTTACATGACATCAGGCTTGTGGATGGTCTCAGTTTGGGGGAGGGAGGAAAAAAGCCACAGGCTGTGAGACCCAACAGAGGGACCAGAGAAAGAAGAAGAGCCCTGCAAATGATAGAGCTGGGATGCACTTCTGTTCAGATGGGAACACAATGTCCTGGAAGACCCAGGAACTGGATGGAAAAGTGCCCTGTAGGCTTTTTCCTACTCTGTTTCAAAGATCGTTCTTAATGACTTTCAAGTTATTTAAAAGAATAAAAAGTACCACAGTTTTCTACTTTCATGTTATTCAGGATCTTAAAATTCCCCAAACTTGTGTCAAAGGATGAAGCATTAAAAAATTAAAAGGTATCTGAGTGAATTTCTAGGGGACACTATTTTATTGAACTCCCAAAAAATTTTTTAAATAAAAACCTTAACATTTCCTTTCATGTCTGGGAAGATAGAAGCACTTTACCTTCTGGATAAAAGTGAAAGACAAAAAAAACCAATTTGTGTGGATACTAATAGAAATGTTTTGCTAAGTCCTCCTCATAATTTGAGGACTATAATCTATCAGTGACGGACTGAGCAATCCACTTTCTCATGTCTTAGTTTGTATCCTAAGTTTTCATAGTAAGAACACTTGGGATGGGGCTGTCCTAGTGATAATAAACACTGAGTGCATTCTGAAAGTGAAGTGACCAAGAGATCTGGCTAGTCCAGCAACCCTCCTTACAAATCATCGTGAGTAGTAGAATTTGTATCATTAAAAATGTTTTTCAGGTGTCACTGGTTGAAAACCATTTGGCTGGACTGGAAGGAAGGGTTCTGGCAGACATGTTTGACTTCCTGTCCAAAGAGCTGGTGAGACTACAGGAAGAGAGGAGGATCCATGCTTTTGCCATGCTGGCCGAGCGGCAGCGGAGGATGCGAGAAGCTGAGGAGAGTGGTCGGCGCCAAGTGGAGCAAAGGCGCCTGCGGGAGGAGGACCAGATATTTAAGGAGGTAAGTGGGGCAGCTGGATGTCTGGAAGCTGCTTGTGTGTATGGAGCTGAGTCAAACCAAATGAAACTCATGATATGAAATGCCTTTTGTTTTTTGTTTTTCATCGCGTTCTACAAATATGTATTGAGTTCCTGCAATATGCTAGGCACAGTTGGAAACCAGTCATGGTCCTTTTTCTTCTAGGGCTTAAATACTTAGATAACATGCAGTTATGTGTAGAATTAGAAAATATAGTAAGCTTCATGAAGGAAACATATGAGGCCCAGTGACGCATTTTAAACATTACTCTGCTTGCTGTGTGGAGAACAGTTTGGACGGAAGACAGAGTGGGAACAGGAGATCAGGAAGGAGGCTCTTGAAGTAGTTTGGGCCAATGAGAAACAGGAAGTCAAGGAAGATGTATAGTTTCTGGCTTAAGTAACTAGGAAGATGATGGTACTATTTCCGAGTGGAATTAGTTTAGGGGCAGGGGTGGAAACAGGAAGTTGATTTATATTAGGTTTGAGACATTCTAGTGGAGGTATCATTTCAGCAGGTGGATAGACAAGATGGAATTTAAAAGAGGTTTTGGCTAGAGATATAAACAAGAGGGGCATCTGGGTGGCTCAATTGGTTGAGCCTCCAACTCTTGATTTTGACTCAGGTCATAATCTCATGGTTTGTGAGATTGAACCCCATGCCAGTCTCCCTGCAGATAGCAGGGAGCTTGCATGGGATTCATTCTCTCTCTCTCTCTCAAAAAAAGTAAATAAACTTAAAAGAAAAAAAAGACAAACTAGAGTACCAGGTTGGTAAATTAGAATTCTGA